TCTGGGCTCGAATACCATTTTGATCCACAAAAAAGGACCGCGTGATATACTGGGCCAACTATCGTCCTATAGCGCTCCTGTCCACAATACTCAAAATCTTCTCACGTATCATCCTCAACCGCATAAGTGGAACACTCAATATAAATACGAGAAGAGAACAAGCCGGATTTCGTGAAGGCTTTTCAACCATCGATCAGATACATGTGATTTCTCAACTTGCGGAAAGATGTCGAGAATACCGAATCCCGCTAATCTTTTTATTTTATTTTTGACTTTCAAAAAGGCCATTTGTACGTCTCGCAACACCAAGCGGTATAAACGCAGCTTGACCACTGTTCGGAATTTTCAAATGATTATATTGAAATAATACGACAATGTAACACGAGCTGCTACACTGACATAAAATTGCTCAAAGAACCAGTTCGTGTAAAGATCCAACGTGGCGTACGGCAAGGCGAGGTCATCTCTCCAAAACTATTCTCTGCAGCTTTAGAACTTGTAATGCGGCAACAATCCGCTGCCTTTGTGGCCATTTAGATAGATGTCGGAGAGACTTCATACTTGATGTTTGCAGACGACATAGTCTTGATTGGAAGCGAACCGAGTGCACTCGAAAGCTCCCTGAATATTTTGAGCGAAGCCTCCCAATCCATTGGACTTGTAATACATCCAGGAAAAACCAAATGGATGAAAAACAACTATACAAATGACTATCGTTTATGCATGAAAGCGATCAGTCATTGAGAGAAGTCTCATCGTTCACGTATCTTGGCCAAGCAATAACGATGGATAATGATCTTACAGGAGAAATCAGCCGGCGTCGAAAGGCGGGATGGGCCACATTTAACAAATACCGAGATGTTCTCACCGATAGACGGATTGAAACTCAAATAAGATCTCAAACCAGTGTCAACACCCATGTTCTACCAGCACTGGTATATGGAAGTGAGACATGGAGCACAATCAAAGATGAGGAGAGAAGACTAGCTGCTACGCAAAGGGCAATGGAGCGAGCAATGTGTCGAGTAACACTAATGCACAAGATCCCTGCTCGCGAAATCCGAAGACGGACGGGCGTAAAGGATGTTATCGAAACCATTTATGACTCGAAAAAGAGATGGGCTGGACACGTAGCTCGTCTTGACGATAACCGATGGACATATCGCGTAACCAACTGGTATCCTCGTGGTGTAAAAAGGCCACGGGGAAGACCCCCAGCCAGGTGGAGTGATCCTTTTAAGAAACTATATGGACAGAGATGGCAACAAATGGCAAGAAATCGTGATGAATGGCATAGATGTGTCCTGCAAGGATGGCGCAACCAACCTTGAAGATGCGGGACAGTCAAGGGATTCAATGGTAAGTGATGTATTGTATATATGTACGTATGTAAGTATGTGCGTCTGTCTGTCCGTCAGCAAAATGCTTCACGGGTGGAAGGAGAATGCGACCGCTAAACAAACCGGAAACCCATTGGTGCAGATGAATCAATCTAATGGTTTGATTTGATGACAGCCTCCGCTATAGAAGATAACCGTTCGGTACACTCCGAGCCATTGCACAAGCTTCGCGTGGCAGCTGGACGCGGCGCAGGGTGGGGATGGAAGGGAGGGGGGGCACCGAGTGACCCCTCCCCTCTGCTTCCTTCCCCTGCACGTGCTCAGCCGGACCTGAGCATGTGCAAGGTGAAGGAAGCAGAGGGGAGAGGGTACGGTGAGGGGACGTAGCGCACACTTGAGTCTCTCACCCTATATGGGAAAGCTATTTAGTACACTCCGAGCCATTGCACAAGCTGCTCGCGTGGCAGCTGGACGTGGGCTCGCGCGTGGAGTTGCATCCTCTATTACCATCCTCTAGTCGACCAAAACCGTATGAGTAGCTGAGTGAATGAACAAATTCCGTTTCCATTATGAAGTGCGCCCTCTTACGCTAGATATAGTGTTGCGTTATGCTTCTTACTGGGCTGAAGTAATGTGGTGACATGGACCTCGCTTATTACATACTCGACAAGTGAGCCATCCCAACTTGGCTCTAGCTCGGGTCATTAAGCCTACTACGGTAAGGCCGGTAAGCTGACACCAGGTTCGCCTGGAAGATAAGAACACTCACTTGTACACTGGTTCCCCCTCGTTTTTATACATCCATTCCGCATCCGATAAACACGATTCTGAGCGTGCCGCATCCCAAAAAGGACCTGATCAATAATGACAGATTTACCATCTATGCTTGTCAGTTAATTCAATTTCCAGATTTAATTTCCCGACTATTTGAGTGTGCCTCTGTTAACAAGGAAGTAGAAGAAGTATGTAGAGGTGAAGAGGGCAAAACACTGCCAAGGATATTTACTCTTTGGAAAATTCGCGTATCACAGAGTGAGACAAACTATCAAGAAAGTCACAAGCTAACTACTCTCCGTTTTTAGTTATCCGCAAACGAAGAGCTTTTGTTATTTACAGTGATATTAATATAATAGCAGGTTCCTGTGCAACCCATTTACCTGCAAGTGCCGGTGGTGTAGAGCAAAGTCTGCAAGACCGTGGGCAGTACTCAGCTGCCATTGGAAGTTTGCAACCGCCAAGCCGGCGTACTTCACCACAGTCGATCTTTACAGAGTCCAAGCACTGCAGCCCTGCAATCATCTAGTAGATCGAGGTGGTTAAAACAGGTTTAGAGG